ATATAAACGGTTGTGTGAATGTTTTTTTTTTTTTTTTTTAATGAAAATGAAAACCCTGTACAAAGCAAGTGTTCTAACACTGCCACCACAGTTGGCAGATGGAAACCAAACTGACATTGCTGAAGTTTGAAAGACAAACAACATAAATTTCCAGCTGTTCATAAATCTCACCAGCCCCTAAAAGTGTCCCATGTTTAGGATGACACTCCTTCGTGTCTCAAAAGACACATTCTGCACAATTAATATTCACTCTGCTACTGAAGTGCATTGTTGTCATACCACAACTGACAGATGTGCATTCATTAAACTCAAGACCACAGAGACACATTGTATGCCACAGTGACACTTTTAATAATTAATCCAACTCAATTTACACCTGAATTTATTTATACTATTATTTATTTATGCCGTTTATTCTCAACTGAGGAGTGGATTTGGTCTCCTGGCTGGTGGAGCAGCCGATACCATCCCATCAAATTAATTTTAATAATAGAAGGCTCTCATTAAGACCCAATCAGACATGAAGACAGTCTGAGTGGAATGGGATGCCCGGAATTGACCTGAGATTCATACATTATTGATACAGAAACCGATCTTATTAGATCAGCAGGTTTCAACTTTGTGAGTTTGCCAGTCTGATCTCTTTGCAGGTGTGTACACACACACACACACACACACACACACACACACACACACGCACACACACACGCACACACACAAATATATCTGATATGTATTTGGAGAATATTCCCTGAATTGATCACTCAAACTAATTTTCATAGCATAACGGCTACAACAGCAGACAAATGAGACCACTGAGGGTGAAAATTGGATTATTCTATATGTTGCTTTCTATTTGCACAATTTAGCTTGAAATGTGCAGTGCTGGCTTATGGCACAGATTAGGTGCCTCAATCAAAGGAAGAGCACCGCCTCACTCTACTCATTTGTAGGCAAGCCATTGCTGCACATGCTTTGGAAAAGGTGCAGATGTTGTAGAATCTTACCAGTTAAATTTCAGCTTGAATAGTTATGGGTATAAGACAGTGTCCAAACAAATTTCTATGAGTGCATTTGATGTTAAATTCTGCCCGCGCTGTCTTTCCCAGCACAGCCATTTGTTTTCAGCTTTGTGATACTACACCATGTGTTTCTGTGTGAGGGATGTGATTGTGAGTCATTCACACCAATCATCCTGTCGTTTTCCTGCCAGTCCCAATCAGAATCTAGCCAGAGCGACCACAGGTGTCTTTGATCCTTTTGAGTTGATCTCTCTGATAACATGCGGACACAAACCCAGCGTGGCACACTGGCTATAAATGAGAGGTTACAACTGTGATCACAAGCTGTACATGGCTTTTTTACTGAGACATGAACAAAAAACATCTCATACACATTTAGGATATTTATGTTTGCAGGACTGCATATTTGAAGAACCATTAATACTGTATGTACTGGACAATAATTATAAAACCAAATTTAGAATTTTGGTAACTATCATAATGTTATCTTGATATCAATGTGTCATAATCTTTTCTAACATATTTAAAATCACAGGGTTTTCCTGTTTATCCATTTAAAATCTTTAATTTGGCTGAATTAATAGTTCATTCTAGTATCTCAATATGAGAATCTTGTCACAGTACAATTTTATGGAGAGACGATAATAGTCCCTTTCTCTATATATCTGGTAGGACATACAATCGAACAGGGATTGTGTATATCTGGAATATCTTATGGGTATCTGGAATACCTCGTGTCTACCCCGTACTTTTTTTTTCCACACTGGCACACACATTTACACTTGTGAACACAAGACAGATTCAAACCACTTGTAAATTAGGGATTATGACCCTTCCTTTGCTCGTCTGTCTGGATTTCCTCATCTCGTCCTCTCTCACACAATCACGGACGCGTACAGAAACACACTGGTCCCGGGAGACGTCGGAGTGTGTTAAAGAAGGCATCGCACGTTCATTCTCTCCCTGCCTAAATCTGGGCAGGGCCGGAATTCATCACAGGATCAAACCTGTTTCTCATCAAACCCAAGAAAGTGTAGCTAATGCAATTTCACTAAGTCACTGCTTGACTTGATTGCATGTGGGCTGGGAGCGCATGCTAAAGCACCACTGGGGGCTGGATGGGTGTCACTGTGTGAGTGAGTGTGAGCATATGGTATTTTTGTAGTTTTGGTTGATCTATTTGTTTCAGGCTCTCTGTGTCAGTACTCAAGTCACAACTTTGTGTGTATGTGCATATATATTTGTACCTGTCTGTTTCTCCTCCTTTCATCTGTGGATGTTTTTATGGATAGAAGTTGTGTGTCGTGTGTGCTCAGGTGTGTGTGTGTGTGTGTTGAAGACGAAGCAATGGTCCTCATGGGGGATTTCAGGCAGATTTGGCCACATTAGAATGTGTCACTTCTTCCTCCCCAGCCTTCAGTTGCCGTCCCACTGAGCACCACACCTCCACACACCCCTCCCAGTAATCCTGGATCAGACCACACATCAAGGAACACAAATGCAGTAAGACACTCATCCAAATAACACTAACGGATCCTCAAGCACACACATGCAAACACACAAGCTCTCGCAAACAAAGTCACACTTTTACGCATTGTGGTGAGAGAGGGCTGGCAGCAGTTTGGTGGCATCCTGACCTGAAACCGGAGCCACCCTGTCACGTCTAGACAACTCTGAAGAATCACATGCATATTAATGCCGGACTAATTAATATTCATCAGTACTATAACCCGTTGGCAGCTGGTCCCAGACCCCATGGATCAATGGGGTCTCTTCCTGGCTCCTTTGTTTGACACGGATGCAGATGTTTAGAGCATGAAATTAAATTGGTCACTGTCATTGGGAATACATACATGGCAGTCAATTTGTGTGTGTTTGAGTTTGTGTTTGTGTGTGTGTGTGTGTTTGTGTGTGTGTGTTTGAGTTTGTGTGTGCGTGTTTGTGCGTGTGTGTGTGTGTGTGTTTGAGTTTGTGTTTGTGTGTGTGTGTGTGTGTGTGTGTGTGTGTGTGTGTGTGTGTAGTTGCTGGTAAGTCGTGGCTCTTGGAGCAAACGAGTAATGCTAACTTTCCCCAGAGTCTGTGACATGTTGATGTTATTCATGGGAACTTGAGTGTTTGCAAGTTTATGATGAGGAAACAAAAGTATAGCCAGATCTTTCCATGTTGATGATGACAGAGAGAGGGTGAGAGAGAGAGCGATAGGGAGAGATAGAGAACATGAGGTAGAGAGGGAGAAAGAGCGAGAGAGTGCGTTGGCTGCAGCTTTGTTTAGGAGCCTGTAATTGAGTCTTAATTGAATTGGCACCAAAGGAGGGAAGAATGGATGGAGAGAGTGAGAGAAAGAGAGAGTCTGAGTGAATTGGACCCCATCTCTGTCTCCGCTTAGCAACACGAATGTGGGTTTACCGTGCAGGCAAATTTCATGGCAACAGATCACAATCAGAAACCCTCGATTTGAAAGTTTTGGATGGAATGAAAGCTTCCCTTGTCATTTTAATGAAATACGGAGAGTGTTGTCTCCCCTACGTTTCAAATGAAACTTGTTCCATTAGAAATGTGTTCTGGAGCCCAGCACAGGGAACAATGGGTTGATATACATTTGAATGCAAGGCTAGGCAGGCTGCACAGGTAATGCGGAGCAGGCTTTCGCACTATCGCAGGCTGTCTTTGTGTTGTATCACAGTAGCTTTGCAGGGCTGTATAGAACATGGAAATGAAACACAAGAAAACTGCAGATCAAGGCTTTGTGCCAAACTGAAATCTCACCATTTCAGAACACACACATCCACACTATGATCCACACACACATCCTTACCCATTTCAAAACCGTATTAAAGTAACTTGGGTCACCACCTTATTTGATTTCTGTCCAGTGTTTCCACTTACTTTCTACACTTCATTCATCTATACTACATTTCCACTGCTCAAAATTTAACAGGAATTCAGCATGTTGAGGGTATTATTCTTACAAAGTCCTAAAATCTTTTCCCACACATGGAGTTGAATTCTTAATGTATCAGGCTCTCTTGGTTTTGAATATAGAAAGTTATTTATTGCACTGTTGTACTTCTTGTCATAACCATAAACCTAAATCAAGAAATTCTAATGAATAACATTGTCTCGACTGCATAGAGACAGGAATGCCACCACCATCCTGCTCCCCTTCTCCTATTCTTATTCATCAACCAATCACAATTTGTTTGTGAACACTGTATGAACCAATTGTAAACGTGTGTGCATGCATTCATGCGTAGTATTCTTTCAAAACTTTTATACATGCACGCACACACAAAGACAATTCTGTTGCTCTGCAGTTTGCTGTATCGACAACAAGCCGCAATTTCTCCTCCATCAATTATATTGATTACTTCAGGATGAGTAGAGGTAATGAGCTTTGGTGTTCTTTCTTTCCCCTATGATCTCCCCTCTTCCCCTGTCTGAGCCCCAGGACCCCTCCCCTTTTTTGTTACATGGCAATGATTTTCTGATTAACCCTGTTAGCTGTGGGGTTTACCCACACAGCAACACAAGGGTATGGATGAGTGTGGGCACGTGGGATGCATTTAGATTTGTGATGGAGAGCTACGCTGACTGAGTGATGTGTTTATTACAGCTGAATGTGTAGACGCAGAACAATATGAGAGTTGAAAAAAAATTTAATTAATAGAGGAAACATAATTTTTTAGATGCCCCTTCCAGGGAAATCAAGAGTTTAGGGTCACCTGCAGAGGAGCACCTTTGGGGTTGGTTGGAATTTTGTTGAAGACGCAGCGTGGTTATGATTGCTGAAGTTTTGAGTCTGGGTGGGCCAGTTGAGAGCAGATCTTCAGAATCCCCTCAATCTTCTTAATGTCATGATCCAAACATATCCATTTATCATACTGTGCAGTTAAAGTAAACCTCCCAAACAACACTACTACGTATTAATGTCTGTTTTCACATGTTTGATTCAGTCATGTCCTGTTTCCTGTGTTCTAGGTGGCGCTGATGACAACTTGATTGAAGGAGGAGAAATGAAGTTTGTGTGTAAACAAGGAGCGAGGAACATCACTGTGATCTTCCAGCCTCTTCTCAGGTACAGCACTGAGTGATACACTTAACATCCAGACAAAAACAAATTTGAACGTGGTCTCAGGATGTGTTTGTGGTTCAGCAGAAATGTGATCAGCAACACAAAGCGGCAGGACGTATACAGTCACTCATCTGCTTTCTGATGTTCTCAGTTGTTGGTATGGCACTGCCTACTGTGTGAGTAACTGCTGAAGTATCAGTGTGATGACTATGAACAGAGTGGAGTCACAAGAAAAGATATATTCTATTTTATATATATATGTGTATATATACATATATATATATATAGTTTTGCAATTTATGTTACGCTAGTGAATAAGTCATGGCGAATCACTATGACTTCCGAAGATGTCGTGATATACTAAAGCACTTTCCTGCAGTGGACAAAAAACAATTCTGATTTCCAACAATATATTGACTTTATGTGATCATGTTAAAATAAAGTTAATAAAAAAACTTCTGTTTTTGGAGTAATTTGGACAATTCCAAGAGCTATGTGTTAAATGGCCTCTTGTGTCATACTCATCTATGAGACAGGGATGGCCTGGCCACAAGACATATGAAGTCAGGGGACATGAGTCAATACCAGTAAAATGTAAACTAATTATATTACAGAGCCTCTTAGTGACTGTCTATTGATTTCAACCTTTTTAATGTTTAGAGGGTTATCATAAATCAAACATGATGTAATATACTGTACCCTCAGTTCAAAATGTTTTGTTGATAGCCTCCAGGAATTGGGTTCGACTACCACCCTTGCTTTTATTTCCCATTAAATTTGAGTATTCTGAAGGGTTGTCTTTGTGGTAATGTTCTGTATGTGTGTTAGTTTTCTATACAGTGCTGTGGTCCCAGTAGAGTAGTGTAAATCTAATAGTGAAGCAATTTAATTGAATTGGCCTCCGTGCAGTGATACATTACCTTCTAGGATCCATTAAACAGAGATGCTTCCTATTTCCACACTATGGTGCTTGGCATACATTTCTACAGCTTTAACATGATGATGCATATTTTTGATCCACAGGAGCAGAATAAAAGTTTCTCTTTAGCAAGCACTTTGTTTATCCCTTGAATTTGCATAAAGTTGGTGAGTTAACGGCAGAAGTGTGAGTAACGAGTTATATTTACTCTTAGTTAGTGTAACAAAGTTGCTTTTTTGTCTACTTCTACTTTTTGGTGTATTTTTAAAAATCAGTAATTTTACTTTTAAGTATTTTTTAATTCAAGTATTTTACTTAATTTGCTACATTTGTTACATTTACAGTTGAAATTGTTACAGAGTAGAAACAAAAGTCACAGGTACATGCTGGGTGTGGCTAAACGCTAAATGCTAAAATACTGATGGTGGATCCTTCTTTTGGATAATCCATATTGTGACTGCAGCGCTGATTGAGCTCGGTGTTTGAAACCTTGGGGAGAGAACAGTGACACCAGACTGGTTATATTTTGCGTTGAGAATTAACTAGCAGAGAAGTCGGATATGGAGCAGATTGTAGAGGACTTTGTGGTGCACAAGACTCACAGAGACTGACATTCAGACAGGCGAGTGCAACGAATGACGGATTGCTGTAACTCACTGTACAGAGGAGAACATCAACAACTATTGTGTTGCCTAGCAACGTAGCATTTTGTCTGTGTTTGTCGGCTGCAGGCACTGTGGAGTTTATGTTGTTTATACATCTCCGCCTTTTCTGCTGCTTTATCTGTTTTTATCCTCCTGTTAAAGTGGCAGCTGTTTGATTTATGTAGCTTAATATTGCTACATAAAGTCTATGGACTCCTGCCGTCATGTATAATTATCAGCTGTATGCACAGGCTGCAGAGTGCCTGACTGGAATTTATTGGTTGTTTCCAGTGCAGTTCCACCTGGGATTGGTGTATATGCTTTGAAATACCAATGCATATACGCCTGGTAGCCTAAATATGTTCTTCTTTCATTTAATAGTTTTATCATCTATTATTATTATTATCACCATATAACATTTTTGCCCCTCCTATTCCCCTTTTAAAGATGAAATGCAGCAACGTTTCCTCAGAGTACATTTTAACTGACTTATTTTGTACTTTCATCATGGGAACATTTACTACACAAGTAATTTTACTTCTAGAGTAGAATTCTCTTAAACAACAGTACTCTTACTTGACTACAATTTACTCCCACCATCCCTGGTTAACAGATGTTTTCACTATAAAAGTATCTTGAATACTCAGCCAGTGGAGATCTACAGCTGCACACAGGTCACCTGGGAGGACCTGCATTACGACATGGATAACTGCAGTGCTGTTTGACTCTACAACATTTTTTAATCTCTACTGGCAACTGAATGATGTGTATATCTTGACCACTAAACGTCGTGGACTACTAAACTATATGGAATCACAGAACATCAGCCGATTAAATTAGTTTGCACTCAAGCTAGATTGCACTTCATCTATCAGATCCATTTCTGCTATTCATCACATCCCTACTAATCTAAGATGTATTGTCAGTTGTCATTTTGCCTTTTGTGTGACTGATTGATGCTCTTTGAAAGCAAATGACTGGTTTCAGAAAGTGAGTACTACAGTGTGTTTTTATGTGTGTGTGGAGGCATGTGTTTATGCATGTTCTTTCTCTTTCTTTGCTGATGGTTGACTGTGTTTATGTCCCTTCACTAATGTTTTGGCCTTTTTCTCTCAGTCTCTCTCTCTGTCCCCCCCTCTAGCGCACGTCCCTAGTCTCTCTGACACACACACACATGATGACGTTCAACCCCTGTTCACTGTGTGTCTGGCCAAGCTTTTGTCTGAACAAATGACCAAAAATAAAACGGTGACTAGCTCTCAGCCTACCTCTCCCATGTTGTCTGTAATGGTTCATATCAATCACACCAAACTGCCTCGCACACAGGGCTCTCTTCTCTTTCTCCCTCCCTCCGACCTGCCCTCTCTAGACTTCTAGTGCCAATGGAGCACTGTTGCTTGCAGATGGTTTTCTAATGGCAAAGCTCTGGCACTCCGCTGATGGATCACAACACCTCCAGCAGCCAGCCATGCAACTCATGGCAGCTTTAATGACAGAAGCAGTTGGGGGCTGCAGCACAGGAAAGCAGTGGTGTGTGTGGCAATGTGTAGGCGTATGAGACAACAGGGTCTTAATGTTTGATTGCAAATGGCTTTTGCCTTTTCTCCCCCTAAATCAAGTGTGCTTTATATTGTTTTTGTGCGTCTGGGGCCTGTATCACAAAGTAATCACCATTTCTCCTTATGTCATATTAAGCACTCCGCTTCTGGTTCAGATGATGATGATGATGCGTGCATGTGATTGGCTTGCAAAATAGGAAACGCAATGCAAAGGCACTTTAGGTATCTTTGAAGTTTCTCCATCCTGTTACATTTGCTTATGTTAACTTGGAGAAGGCCCAGTATTCCCAGTGGGTTCTATATTGTGGGATTATGGGGTATCAGTGCCATTCCAATGAGCTATCCAGTCCTTGTATAGCATAAGTGAGAGCTGTGTCTGTGCACTGACCCATAAGTCAACTTCCTGGGTTAACCAAGTGTCTGTTTTGGACAGAATATCTAGAAGCAGCCAAAGAAAGGATATTGCATATCTCTGATCCAGAGTATGCTGGAGGGATTATGTATCCAACCTGGTCTTTGAAGGCCTCAGCGTCCCGCTTCTAATGTAGTTACTTCTAATGTTTCTTTCCTCCTTTCTTTCTACATTTATATTGACCTTGTACATATGCCATTCTAAAACAGTGTAAAATATGTATACAATATGTATATCTGTTTCGATTCTATATACTTCATATTGTGAGATAGGCCCTTTGCTACAATGTAACCAGATGTGTCAGGCTGTCTAGTGTATGTCTTTAAGGATGCTCACACAAATATGGGGCAGACAGGGGAGTGTTTGTGCATGTAGCAGCCAATTTACTTTGACTTGTGGGGTCTCCTGCTGACATTTGGGTGATATTTACACCCCTTGCTCTGGATGAGTTTGGCATTTTGAAAAGCTTCAACAGGCCCCTAATCTCTTCCTTGTTCACCATGCACAGAATGACCAGGCGTGGCCATGCCTCTGGATGTCTGCTATATTTGTAGCTGTGTGGCTGTCTGTATGTGTTTTTGTGTGTCTTGGTGCATTTACACATGCAGTTCACACCATATGATCACTGTTTAATTAGAGCCAAAGCACAGACACTCGCAGTCACTCACACACACACACACACACACACACACACACACACACACACACACACACACACACGCTGTGAGCTGTGATTGACATAATGCACGGGAATACCAAACCCTAAAACTGTTATCCCTCAAACAGTCATTTAAACTTGTGGACTTCAATCCAATCCAATCCTCCAATCTGCCAGAACCCACAAGTATAGTGGGCTCTAGTTTTTCGACCCCACTAATATAGTAAAACAAGCCGACATGCACAGTCCATGTACACACAACTAAGTGTAGTATTTTTTGTAAATCAAACTTAACCACCGACACTGAGATGACTGTTATATTTTCCTCTCAACTGAAAGCATATTTTTTTAAAATAAATAATAAAATGTACTATTATTGAAATGGCTACAGAAAGCTCTGCTTCCAACTCTAAAGCTGTAGAATTTTAAATTTAAATCTGTAAAACTGCAAGTATGTTATGAAGTCTTTCCTGTGCCTTTTTCAACTCTTCAATATTCATTACCAATCTTTTGTTTTAAACGGCAGAAATTTAGCTTGTTTGTTATTAACCAAATGGTGAAATCATGTTGAATCAAGAAGTATTTCCACAAGGTCGTCTGGACAATTTAAATTGCCTTTGCTTTGACTGCTAAATAGCTGGTACTTTAGAGAGAGTCATACTGGACCCATGGAAACCTGGGAGCACTTGTGATTGTTTTCAGTAAAATATTATCATAACCAATAGGGATGATGGCCAGATATCGGAAAATAATAAGTAATAATAATTTAAGAAAACCACATTTTTCTTTATTAACTCAAAGTCATCAACTT